CCATCAATATAAACTGACCGCCACGAAATAGCACGATTGTGTTGAAAGTGGCGTTAAACCCCAATCAATTAATCAATCAATCAATCAATCAATCAATTAATCACCCAAACCGGTATAATTATGCATGAGTAGATAATTTTATAGCTATTGTTATGAAATACTTTAAAATGACTGTGATTTAATTGGTGTCTTTTGCAATAAAAGATGATTTATCATATTTTCCCCGCATCAGGGAAATTCTTCAAATAGCTCCTGCATTAATTGATTTAAATCTTCCTCCGAAATGTTTAAAACGTTGATTTTTGTTAAATTGCACCGTCACATTTTTTCTATAAAATGCACTTTCGGAAGCTGCTACGAGGCTGGAGCTGCTAAATCAGAAACAGTAAACTGGCATTAAAAAAAATGCAGAATATCCTCTGGTTTATGAAATATTTGAACTTCGGGTGCTCAGTACACAGTCAAGGACCCATAATTTAATAACTTTCACCGTATGTTCATTATTGTAAACCCATCGATTAAACCTAAACTTTGCAATTTATATTTTGACAATTTTCCAACAATATCAGAATGGTTTTTTCATCTTTAAAACGAGGTACCAACGTGCCAATGTTTATCTCTTTTAAAATCTCAACCACTTTCCAAACAATAGATTCAGATTTGAGCCGGGTTTGTAATAATTCCGGATAAGCAGATCGGAATCAGTTATGACGTAGACAGTAATTGTTCTAATTGTAATCCTGTTCATTGACCATAACAACGATGAAAACACAGCATATAAGGACGTTTTGACATCATATAATGAAGTAAACCGCACCACATAATATAATGTAACAAGCACATAATATAATGACACAACCACATCATATAAGTATATTTGCACATAATATAAGAATGTTAGCACATCATATAAGTACATTTGCACATCATATAAGTATATTTGCACATCATATAAGTATATTTGCACATCATATAAGTATGTTTGCACATCATATAAGTATGTTTGCACATCATATACGTATGTTTGCACATCATATAAGTATATTTGCACATTATATAAGGATGTTTGCACATCATATAAGTATATTTGCACATTATATAAGGATGTTTGCACATCATATTAGTATATTTGCACATCATATAAATATGTTTGCACATCATATAAAGTTGCTTGTACATCATATAATGACAAGTGCACATCATATAAAGGTAAATGCACATCATATAATGAAAATGGGCATAATAAGACAGTTTTGGCGTTCCATATTATTCTACTGAACTACTGGTCTTTCAAGAATTATGACTTCTTTAGTGTTGATATAATTTCTGACACGCATTGTATTTGCGGTTGTAAGAAGGCACATTAATTCTTCTTATAATGCCTATTATACAAAATCCAAAGAGAAATTCTGATAAACAATCTTAGTTTGATTCCTGATGACAAAATAGTTTGAAAGATATGCAACATGAAAAGTTACTTGCATAACATTCAAAATCATTTATTTGTATACACTCATAATAACCTATTGCTTTCATCTACATATGACAAACTATAGTAGGATGGTCTGACTTTTTTTTATAATTGTTATTTCTTTTTTTTACTGAAATCGCTCAAAAGTAAAACGAATTTCTTTGTTTTTACTTTAGTTCATTCTTAAAATGAACAAGTGACTTGGAAGAGAAATTTCATGTAAACATTTAAACATTTTGTCAACATTTTGTGGGGTTAAGCTAGTTTTTTGTGGAATGGTTCCTTGTATATTTTCCAAATATCCAAATATAACTGACCAATCAAAACATTCAAGCTTATATTTACTTAGAGGCCCTTCCAGGGTATAGAAAAATGTGGAAGAAGTTATATGTTATTCTAAAATACAAAAAGTTTTCAATGATCAACACAAAAATAGTTATTAAAATAACTTGCCTTCATTCTATATTTTGGAATAAAAGTATTTTAAGGGTATATTCAACTTTTATAACTCAAAATAATGTTTTGTTGATAATAACTTTCTTTCACTTATATAAACTTACCTTATATATCTATGTCAAGCTTCAGTTTCATGACTTACTAGATAAAATGTCTATTTCATTACACTTTACCGCATAATCACTCGTAAACACCCACCTAATTCACTAAAAAAAATTCAATCCCAACTGGCTTCCATACCTACCGTGGTACTACTGGATGCAAGGTAAAGAAGCCTTTCTATCGCCACTGTAAAGAATAAGAGGTTCAAAATCAATTTCGCAGATATGACAAAAAGAGGCTAGTTCTAGGACACCTTCGACATGACATTTTTTTAGGGCATTTTTGTAGAATGTTTAAATGTAACATTTGATCGATTTAATAGAAATGTTTTATCATATTACTCCCAGTTTTTCCAATGAAATTAAAGCAAACTTTGTAAACTGATATTTATTTATTGCATCAGATATTATGATACATGCAAAGTTGGTAACAACATTATTGAAACATGGGATTGAACTACCTAATCCTGACTGTAGCCATTTGTGTTCAATTCGTTCTTCATAACATTTTTTGGTTTATAAGCTTTGAATTTTTCAAGTTTTTGATTTCATCGAGCATCACTGAAGAGATATCTGATTTGGCCTTTTTAAGGTCCTATTTGGTAATATAGCTTTTCAATTGTTTTGGTTCTTGTACATCCTTGGCTTTCAAATATTAGGCTTTGAATGTTCCTGATGAAGATTTGAACAAAACATGACTGATTCATATACAAACCCTTAATTGAGTTTTGTGATATAGACTGTATTTTGAACCTAATCTAAACATCTCCCTCTTCCTTGATTTTTATCTTCCCTCGAGCTTGGATTATAGTTTTCCATAGTTATGTAACGAAATAATTTAAGATCAAAACACAATTTATTCCCAAATGACACGATATTGTAATACCAACCATATGTACTCAGTTTTCTTATTTATTTTGACATAACAAAAAGCGGTCTTGGATGCATTAAAACAAGATTGAGATCAACATCCCGTATATATAAAGTAACTTTTTATCTATATTTCCCAAAAAGTAAAGCTGTGATCAGAAAGGGTTGTTGTTTGCATGCTGGTGTGAATTCCTATGCAAAATGAGTATTGTGCATTTCCCTTTACAAAATAAGGAGATGAGGTATGATTGCCAATGAGACAACTATCCACCAAAGTTCAAATAAAGTGGATGAAAGCAATTATAGGCAACCGTTCGGCCTTCAACAATGAGAAAAACCCATACCGTATATAAAAAGTTCCGACATGAAAAATATGAATCAATTAAATTGAGAAAACTAACGGCCTAATTTATAACAAAACAATTAACGAAGAACAAATATGACAGACATGAACCAACGACAACCACTGAACTACAGGCTTCTGACTTGGGACAGGCACATACAGAATGTGGCGGGGTTAAACTTGTTTGTGAGCGCTCAATCCTCCCCATAACCTGAGACAGTGGTGAACAGCACAACTTAAGAACAAACTATAAAAATCAGTTGAAAAAAGCTAACTTATCAGATCGATACAATTAGAAAAACATCAAACATAAACACAGACTGGACGTGGCAGGACATTTTTCCATCCCTCATCCGTAACAACAAAAGGACACTAAGTACAGTTCTGAGAGTACTCGCAGTTACTGACAGCTAATTCAAAGCCAATAACAACTGATAAAAAAAATCATGTATCTAAGACTAAAATATCAATCAGTACACATCCAACATCCATGGATTTAGTGTAAAGACGTCATTAACAGTCAGAGAAAAACCCGACCTTGTGCTATGCCAAAATTGACAGATTGAGTACCTTTTAAGTGCATATGTGTATAACAGAACTATTGTATGATTTTGATTTACTGATAACTAAATCAATATTTATACCAATAAAAAAAAATATTCAAAGATCTAATTTGCCCACTTTTATAAGTCTGAGGTTGTCCTATAGACCAAGAGTTTAGATTCCTGGTATTGTTATCTTAAATACTCCGCTAAAAAGATTTGGAAAACACCCGGTTTATAGTGTCTTTGAACTTGTATTTCTCATGAAGTAGAGCTATTGTAAATATGAAAATGACTCTAGGCATCTATGTTGCTCTTTTTTTTTGCATGTTAACACATCACCGGATTTGTACTTACATGAGCAACACGACGGGTGCCAGCGTGTAACAGGATATGCTTACTCTTTCGGAGCACCTGATACCACCCCCACTTTTTGGTGGAGTTCGTGGTGCTCTGTCTTTGGTTTTCTATGTTGTTTTGTGTACTGTTGTTTGTCGGTTTGTCTTTTTCTTTTTTGGCCATGGCGTTGTCAGTTTGTTTTCGATTTTTGAGTTTGAATGTCCCTTTGGTATCCTTCTCCTCTCTTTTGTCCTGACTATGTTTAGTATATGTTGATTATGCATCTCTCTTTGTCTGTTTGTATTAGGCTTATGTTGTCAAAATGTTTCGATTCTGAACTGTGATGTTGAATAATACAAAAAACAACATTAGGATCATCGTCCGTTTAAAGTGTCTTTGAATTTGTATTTTTCATATGTTGAATAAGAATAAGGTTTCTGGTTTCTTGTTGTTTTTGCATGTTGTTTTGACTTTGTGTATCGTATGTCAGTTGTGCAATTTTTCTAGTGGTTTTCATTAGTCTAAATAATTGTGTTAACAAGATCTTTTCGACTTCTGGCAAATTTTGTCGCTTTGATATTCTTCTACATATATATTCATGAAATGTCAGATCGGGTGTTCTCAATATTTTAAAACGTCATTTTCCTCGAAGTATCACGTCCAATTATTCGCTCCTTTTTTAAAGGGTTAATCAATTTGTGTATACATAGATAAGAATAATGTATAACCTTTCCAGTGGTAAGCCCGTAGATTAAATAATAAACCAATTTTTTCTTTACCAAGAATGAAATAACTAACTTATAAATTGTTAAAAAAAAAAAAAACATTTTCCTTGTGTAATTTCATTTTGTTGTATATATAAATAAATGGATAACAAATAGATCAAATATCTTCAATGGGATCACTCAACTTACAACTAATAACAAAAATTGTCACTGGTTTCTAAATAATTCATCATAAGAGTTTCTCGGTGATAATAAGACACATAGAACATACAACAATATATGGTAAAGTTTTTTGTTTTTTTACAAACATAATTTATAAAAGATGTAAAGCATATTTATACATTTATTCCATCTATGGTTGTCAGCTTTGCCAATGTATTCCAGAGTTGTAAACTAAACATCCTCAACTAGGTGTGTTGGAACAAAAGCTTATACTGCCACTCGTTCTATAAGTCAAATGATGTGTTCATTTTATTAGTAATATGATTGTTATTCACATTTCTGGGATCTTCGCCAAATACACAGGATAAAGATGAAGAAGCAGTCAATATGTTGTTACTTATACAGCTTCGATACTGAACAGTGAATTTTTTTTTAGAATTTATTGTTTTATTCTATATTTAAATAAAAAAAATAAGTGATTACAAAAATTAAAACAATAAATAAGGTGAATAAATTAAAAAAGTTTTAAATGCCAATTGTTTTTTCAAGTTCCATTATTTAATTTTTCTAATGTTTTTTTCAAAATTTTACCAACGATTTATTTTATTGATTTTGATATTTCGTCAAAAAATGAAATTCTGAATAATTTGAATCAGATATTAACAAAATAGTACGAAAACAATGTTTATAATACACACAAATCTACTGCTGAAAAGGCTCAATTGTTATTGACACATTGTCTTTGCCTTTCGCATTCCTAAATATGCTTGTAACTTCACCGTGTGTCAGGCCTTTAGTTTGTTTTCCATCCACTGCGATTATTCGATCAAATTGTTTAAGACCTGCCTTAGCAGCAGGGCCATCAGAGGAAACATAAGACACGTATACGTCTTCATTTACATCCTTTCCACCGACAAAACGTAAACCATACCCAGACGATTCAGGTACCAGAAACAAACCTTTCGATTTTGGGTTTGGTTTCGAAAAGGATCTGAAAATCATAATAGATTTCATTAACATATATATCTGATCATTTTAAAAATTGTATTTTTAATTTTCTACCTTTATATTTAAGTGTTGTTAAAATAACAGGCATAGGCACGAAAATTAGTAAAAAAATCATCATGTAAGGGCTATAACTCTGTAAGGATTTATGCAATGGTTTCGGTTATTTGACAATATAATTTTTGAGATAATAGGCAAATGTATTAACATGTATCCATACATATTCAAATACCACTTACAAGTATCAAATATTATAGACCGAGTATCATGTCCTCAAAAGAGTGTTTAAAATGAGGCAATTATTTGAATCAATTTAATAGATAGATGAGTAAATAATGGTTTGATTTTCCTTTGTCGAAATGAACATGATGAATCTCTCCTAATTACAATGTATGGTTTATAATTTTTATTGATCATTATATTAATTCATATATGCAATATGCTACTTTTATATCAAGACCATACGAAATATTTATATAATTGTTGTTTCTTTCATTGAAAATATATATATTAAGCTATGTATCATATATTATAAATATTTCTCCTTTAGGGCCTATATATTAAAGATACTCAATTGATGATATATGTAAAATCTAGAATAATGATAGGGATGGTAAACTATATGGATGGAGAGTTGTCTCATTGGCACTCATACCACATCTTCTTATATCTATATACTTGATTGCTTGATACTAACCCGCTTTTCGTTTCTTAGACAGATTATAGTTTACTCTAACACACGTCATATAAATACAAAAATAAACCAGCTTTCCAATGGCAAGAAAAACAAGTGGAGATAATATGAAAATATAAGCCGCTTGCTGGCGCTCTTTGATTCAATACATTGTTTACTCAACAGTCCCTTCGAAAACCCATTATCTCTTATAATCCGCCATTTTCTACATTTGAAAATGCCTGTACCAAGTCAGGAATATGACAGTTGTTGTCCATTCGTTTGATGTGTTTTGTCTTTTGATTTTGCCATGTGATTAGGGACTTTCCGATTGAATTTTCCTCGGAGTTCAGTATTTTTGTGATTTTACTGTTTTTTATAAAAAAGTAAATTAATCGTCTTTATTTCATCAACAAATGTTGTAAATAACTCATATCATAAACTGATTTTATGAATTAAATATATGTTGAAGTTCAAAAAACTAAAAGATAAACTTCGAAATCCGAATTAAATACCGTTGCGACGCGTAGCTTTTTAGTTTCCGGGTAGTTCAAAGCTGGCACAATTTTGTTCTGGTGGATGAATATATGTACGAGGCGGTGTAATGATAATTTTGAATGTGCTTTTCTCATTGTAAAAAGTTCAAGAACGTTTCCAGCACCGATTAACGAGCAAAATTTCCCTAAGTATCACGATTGAAAGATTTCCCCTCCTAATATCCTGATCTTTACTGCCTTTTTAAGGCTTCCACATTAATAGAAAAACAGAATACAATTTCAAATGATGTTAGCAGATTTTAAGTGTGAATATTATGTCAGGTTCTTGAAAAAAAACGTTGTTTTCCAGATGTGAAAAAACGAAATAATTGGTATACAGTTGTTAAATTACTATAAATGGAAGCACCTATAACTTACAAAAATTTGACACCTCCTAGTAAATCCTTGATGATGTTTTCGTCGACTGGTTTTGAACGATATGTAACAGTAGGTACATCAGGCAGGTTTGGAAGTTCCATTGTTTTCATGTCATCGAGAAGTTTCTGAATTTCAAAAACAGACGACCCGGTTGCTTTTTTCTGTCCAATTTCATCTAACTGCTGTTGCCATTTTTTGCATGTAGTTGAAATTGCATCATCAACACACGTAGGATAATGTTTTTTCACGTTTCCACGAGATTTCCTAACGTTTTCAATAATTGCGCTAACCATTTTGTCAACACTAGACTTTATTAGTTCACCTTGTTTCGAAATCGCTCGCTCAAGCTTTTCGCTCTCCTTCTCATAAGACGTTGTCATTGATTTCATGCCACCGCTTTTTCGCTTAAAATCATTTACGATTCCTTTCATTTTTGTAGATGCTTGGTCGTGCAAAGATGAAAATATTTTATCCAAATCCTCCACGCTATGGCCATTGTGGTTTTCGACTAAACAAGCCTTACATAACGGAAAATCGCAATCGTTACACATAAACATTTGTCGATTAATATGCCTACAGTAAAACTCTTCCTCTTGGCCTATCTCGTTTCTTTTTCCAAATACATGATTACGTGCCATATTTGATCTTAGATGAGCAGTCTTACAGTTGTTACAAAAGTATTGTCGGCATTGTTTACAGTACTGTGATCCTGGTGCTTGAACACAAATTTCGCAAGTTCCAATTGGAGATTGTGCCATTTTCCTTTTATCGTATAGACGTTGAAACCGAAAAAGCACGAATATCTATACTTCCTGTTTATCCCAGTGTCAATTGCATCTCCTCATATGTTTTCCTGTTCCAGGAAAATACTATCATGTTCCTAATCACTATTGTTATTTTGTAAGTTGCGGTAATTACTTTTACATGGTATAAATTTCAATGGTATCTTGTGTACTATTATGAGTTTTGCATATTAACGTAAAAATGGTTCATGTGGAGTACGATTCATGTAATAAGAGACAGGTGCTATATGATGAGCTCCCCATGTATATAAGTGCATGTTTGCTCTACTTATCATCATATTTTCGGTTATTATATATAAAATTTTGCGAGAAGTCGTATGCTACTCAGATACAAACTTGCGGGAAATCGTATGCAGCTTTAATTTGAAAACATTACCCTACGTGTGTTGATGATGCAATTTCAACTACATGCAAAGCAATACGTTATTTTTTAAAAGTCCCAACGGAAATTTAAAAATATATATATAACTGACATCTGACAGACTAATGAAACCCCTTGTCATTGATAATTATTCAATGTGTTATTATCTTGCGGCCTACACCTTTTTTGTTTCTGCATTCATGATGTTAACTATCCGTTAAAAAAAAAATGAAAATAACACGTTATAAATTTCATGCGTCTGGATTTACCTTCATCAGGAACGCTCAAAGCCGAATATTTGAAAGCCAAGGATGTATAAGGACCGAAAACGTTGACGAGCTATAAACCAAAAAGGGACCTAAGAAAATAGCCAAATCCATCTAAGGCCAACTTTGCCTGAGGGAGTTGAAACCTTAGTTTCTGTATAATTTCAAAATTTATAAACGGGCAATTTTAAATAGTTTGTTATAAATCATGTCAGTACCGAAGTACTGACTACTCAGATGATGATACCCTCGGGGACTGATAGTCCACCAGCAGAGGTATCGACTCAGTGCTGTAAAAAAATGAAAACAACACTTTAAAGGTGTTTGGACAACAGGTTCAATATCGCGGTGTGTGTGGTACAAAAATGACATAATAAGTTTATATAATATAACACAATGTTGACTGCTATACCCCTATTTTTGACATTTTTACCTTTTATATCTGGGTTTTTTTTGTTCACACATTGTTGTAATTATATTGGAATTGTATGCGACTGTCATACAAGTGAGAGGTTTAGCTAGCAATAAAACCAGGTTTAATCAACCATTTTCTACATAACATAAGGAAATACCTGTATCAAGTTAGAAATATGATTGTTGTTATCCATTCGTTATTTTTGTTTGAGCTTTTGATTTTGCCATTTGATAAGGCACTTTCTGTTTTGAATTTTCGTTGTAGTTCGGTATTTTTGTTTTTTCATATTTTCATTACACTTGGTAAAAAAAGTAAGTACTTTGCATCGGAATTAAACATATTCATTCTAAAACCAGTTGTTGGCATGACACGGGTTATGTTCTTCTCATATATTTTATGATGGTATAACACTAAACCCCTAACAGGAGGGATTGTGCCTGATATTCATATGATGAAGACATAATCTTTCAATCAGTTTAATTGAGGTCTGGAGCTGGCATGTCAGTCACTGCTAGTAGTCTGTTGTTATTTATGTATTATTGTCATTTTTTTATTTTCTTTTGTTTCCTATTCTGACATCGGACTCGGACTTCTCTTAAACTGAGTTTTACTGTGCGTACTGTTGTACGTTTGTTTTTTCTACATTGGCTAGAGGTATAGGAGGAGGGTTGAGATCTCAAAAACATGTTTAACCCCGCCGCATTTTTGCGCCTGTCCCAAGTCAAGAGCCTTTGGCCTTTGTTAGTCTTGTATCATTTTTAATTTTAGTTTCTTGTGTATAATTTAGAGTTTAGTATGACGTCCATTATCACAGAACTAGTATACATATTTGTTTAGGGGCCAGCTGAAGGACGCCTCCGGGTGCGGGAGTTTCTCGCTGCATTGATGACCCATTGGTGGCCTTCTGCTGTTGTCTGCTCTATGGTCGGGTTGTTGTCTCTTTGACACATTCCCTATTTCCATTCTCAATTTTAAGTAACCAATAAGTACAGAAATGATGCTCACTTTATGATTGAATAAATAATAATTCTATACGCTCTTGCATTAAGCTTCAATTAATGAAACATTTATTACGAATGCAATTTTGTTATGTTATTTTCTTAATAAAATAGTTTCTTTTGAAATATTCTTAAATTCGAAGTTTGCGTTTTAAATTCAAACTATGGAAAGGAATTTGAATTAAAAAAAATCATTATTCAAATATCCAAGATGATCTTTTCGTGTACATAAAACAAAGTAACATATTTTAAAACCATGGTTATCAACACAAATTCACATGTGTTTAGGATTCATTTAAAAATATCCTCCAACTTTATCAGTCCATGAGACATACGTCTTGTCTATAGTTTAAGTCTCAATCATTTCATTCTGAAAAAATAAAATTGTATTGTCAGAAATAAATTCTCAGCTTTACTGCATTGTATTTCGACTTAAATTTTATTTTCTCCTGCCTTCTCCTAGCGTAGACTAGTACTTTTTCATTTTATGTCCATTATATGCTTGATCATAATCACATTATATATGGATTCTACTACTGCATCGAGTGTGTCTCCAGTTGAGACAGTTAATTTTTTAGAATTCAAATAGCGAGGCTTGATGAACTTTCTAAGTAGTTAAAATTTAACTGTCGAGAGTGGTAAAATATCGTAGTGCACGAGTCGCGGCGGTTGATTCTGTTCCCCTAATGATTCAAGACTACATGAAGACAAAATTTATCTTTTATTTTCGATGATCTGCAAACAAGTTATGTTCTTTATATGTAACATCAGGTATGATCGCCTTTTTCGTTCCGTCACTATATGAAATTCAGAGGAAAGCAAGAAAAAAGTTGTACCATAAATGAGTTTTGCCCAATGAATAATTGAGATAAAACGAACCACACGTTGTTTATAAATAAGATAATCAACCAATCGCGAAAAGTATAAATTGGGTAAACATATACAACGTATTGTTTTAAATAATCTATGCATAAACTTCTTAGACTATCTACAAATAGAACTCTTCTCCATGTCAAGAGTCAGTGCGTTGTAACCATGATTGCAACGATGTACACTTTCCTAAACTGATCAGAGGAATGTCATTATTCTTAATTCCATTTATGAATGGCGAATTTATAGCTAAGATAAATTTACACAAAATTGTGTGCACAATGACGAGACAATTATCACTACGCTTTTTTTGTATAATAGTTGACACATATAATGATTTTCTTCGAGCCGTTTTATCGAGCTTTATTTTTCAAAGTATTTCTTTTGATATAGTCAAGAATCGATTTGATCAAATGTGATTTTCTATTTAGAATAGTATCAGTTATATAAAAAGCATTTACCAATCAGGTAGCTAGTTAAATTTATCACACTTATTCCAAGAAGATCATACAGATTTAGTATTTGAAAATAACAATCCGATTTATGACTTTAATTTTGATTTGGAATTATATTTTGTCGGAAACGGATATTTTTAAATTTACGGAAATAGGTATAATGATTATGTACTATCTTGTTTATCAATATTTTAGTAAAAATGAGTTAGATTGGACATCTAAAAGTTAGTATAGAAGAAAAGTCTTTAATAATTTAAAATCCATCACTTCCTGTCCACATGTTAAAAGAACCATTTCCCTTTTATTGCATAAGACTTACTCATTGTATATTTGAATATTCTTTTAATTTAAAATCGAAACTGAATCTATATGTAAATCAATTTTTGATATTCAAAATCTACTTATGAAAAACTATAAGATTTTCAAATTAGGTAACCAGATCAATTATATTTACTTATGCTTAATTTATTAATGTTCCACGAAGACCGTATTGATTGAGTTTTTGAAAAATAGACTGACTTAAAGAATTTTTGACATTTGAAATCTACCAATGAAAGACTATAAGATTTACAAATCAGGTAACCAGATCAATTATATTGAGTTGTATTCAATTTATGAAATGTTCCCGTATTGATTGAATTTTTGAAAAAAAAATTAAAACCTTATATGATGAAAAAATTATTGAAAACATGTTTTGAAAGAAAGTGATATTGCTTGATAGTAACAATTGTTAGATTTAGTGGTTTCACTTATGTGTTCAACTCCTATATTGATTGGCTTCAAAATGATTTTTTTCTGAAATATTTGCATTCCATGCAAAACATAACTTAAAATTCTTGTCACCTTTTTTTGGTGCGAAGAAACCACTTACGACTAAGCGCCACATAAATAAAAGACCATGGGAGATTCTGGATGGAGTAAACAACATTGAAAATAATGGGTAAAAACTACAAAAAAACGATATAAAGAATAGAGAAAATAAGACCAAGAAAATAGAGAAAAATGTGGGACTAAAATATAAAGAATAGAAAATAATTGGCAAAAATTATAAAGAAATGAAAAAATTGGTATAAAACATTCAAGAATAAAGAAATGAGTATCTCCAATCCAGACCCGCCTGTAGTGTACAATCAATACCGACAAATAATTTGCGGCTTAAGAGGTTATTTTCACTATATGAAATTCTCGTCTCAATAACTCAATGTATTTTAAAATTTTTTGGAATAACTGGTTTACGTCATCTGTTCTCCACAAGACTTGAGAAAACATTAAAATTTATGCACGACTTTATTAAACTTTATGTTGTAAGGAAGCGTGACTGGTATGCATTCCATATCAACATACAAAATAACTATGTGTTTGTTAGTATCACAACGCCATATGATTCTTACATTTATGATGCACGCTTACCCATAAAATTTAATTTGTTACATTAGAGGTCACCCGACATTCCTTCGCGAGGTTAATTGCTATATTTGTGGTCATTTCGTAAAACTTGTATCATAGTATGCTTCATTATTTAGCAATTAACAATAAATAACACTTCAAAAATGTTAAACCATATATACCTGGGTCACACATGAGCGAAGGTTAAAATTAATTCCTTGTTATATGTGTGGTTATATTTATAGAACATGGACTTCCTGCGTTCTTTTTTTAACATTTGTTTTAAATAATTGCTTATTTAAGGGTTAATTTTACGCGACCAAATAATTTCTCCGGGTAATTGCAATGATATATGATATATAACTTATTGTGAGCATAATTGGAGTTTTCGTAATTTTGGTTTTGTTTTTTTAGACATCAATTTTACGAGATCTTCATGAGGAATGTATCATTAAATTGATTTGTTGAAAAAACTTATTTTACTATTAGTTGAAAATATGTTTTTAGTAAGCATTTAGATACCCCCAGGTTTAACGTTTTTCAAACATCAATTACTTGTCAAATCTTCATGGAATTTTATTAAACATGGACAGAAGCTGATAAAAAAAATAAAACGGAACAATTTTGTCATAATGTACAAATATACTAGACTTTTACATCATAATCAAACAAAAGTATTATTGTGCACTGACTAACATGCATGTTATATACAGTTGTTTGTTTTAGCTCAATAAGAATAAGAATAAGAATAAAAATATTTATTATTCCAATCAAGGGCCCTTGATGGGCAGCATAACATGTACACATAAAACAATACATCATGATTTGTAACAGAAAAACATTTTTATATATTAAAATGAAACATTTAAAAGTTCAGACAGATGTTATTATCTTCATTCTATAAAAATCACATACATTTAATTCCAGGCAGGATCAGAACTATAAAATCATTACAATTATCATTGTTATTACATACATTAATTAACATTTCGTCTAACATATAGACATGTAATAATATAGCTCCCTAAATATTTTAGTATAGACAAATTTTGCCTCAATTGAAAGATATATAAAATTGGGACAGATACAGTTTATCTCCTTGAAAAATATCTCCCTATCATTATTGTATGCTGGACAACTAGAAATAAAATGTTGTTCATCTTCAACCAGATTTAGAGTACATTTCTTACAAAGCCTTTGGTCTCTTTCTATATATAAAGTTTTATACCTGTCTCTTTCTGTTTTGAGATCATGTGCACTGATTCTGATTTTACATATGGCACTTCTCAATTGAAAATTGTTTAAAGATAGATACATTTCTTTCGAAAAACAAGTTTTAAGTTTGAAATAAGTTTCTAATTTACTACTCTTTGTATCTCTTCTTTTTGTGTTCAATATATGAACGGCGAATAGCTAAAGATTACTGACTAGTAATGAGATATTTTATCCATTACAATTTTGATTAATTCTGTCCTTTTTTGTAATTTTTGAATATCACAACACATCTTCTGTCTCAACTTCACATACACTGTTTAAAGTCGCTCCATAATACTCTGTAAAAATATTCACAATTTCTGGAGTATTGAATAGTTTAGATATATAGAACTCCTTCTCTGTTTCCAATTGAAAAACTTTATCTTTTAGTTGTACATTTTTTGTTCTTAAATCCACCAGCTCCTGAAGTAATAAAAGAACCATTTTAGTAGATTTATTAACCAAACACTTCAATGAATATGAAGCAATAAAATTATTTTTTATCATATAAACATTAATATTCACCCATAATAAATGTTTGTTTTTTAGCTATGTTTGTACTTCCTAGGAATATAATCTTAAAATAGTGTTTGCTGGTTTTTTGTGACATCTTCCGACTTTTTCTCTAAATATTGGTACAGAAATCGCTTCGATTGCAAAAGAAACTGATGTTCTTCTGAACTTGGATTCATTATGGACCGACCTAGAGTAATTCAGAAATCCATCTTTTGGCTTCGTAAATTAATTTTTTTTCGTAGTCGCAGCGTTTGATTTTTGGCCCAATCAGGAGGTTAGAAACCATAAAATTTCAATTTTGCATGATCATTACCGATTAGGACAATTACGACATAAGAAACAATAACAACCTTGTACTTGTAATTTAAGTTAAAATTTTACACCTTTCTGTACTTTTATTGAAATTGCAGTATGTAAGAAATATATATTTTCTATAGAGAGTTTGATCAATTGGAAAAACTTATCAAGTAACAAAAGACTTAACAGTAATACGAAGCTCTAAAAAAAAGAGACGAAAAGACTGTCCGAATGCTAGACGAACATTTGCTTGAATTGATGATAAGAATAGATTCAACGATTATGTACTAGTATGATGTTCCTAACCTGTTTTACCAGATAATTAAATTGTTTTTTCTTTAGTCGACATTTTCGTGCAGAGGACCTGTTGCACCGTTTTCTGTAACATTGTCTTTCTCTTTCTTTTTCTGTAAGCTATCAATTTTTTAAAGGAAAGAAATCAATAACATTCATCCTGTAAACATTAATAACATATGTATGAAGGAAATGTTGGGTAAGAGTAAATGGCATAGCCACCCCAAAACACTTATTTGTTCGAAAATATTATCTATGGATTACGGCATGTCCAATATGACAAGGTATCAACATGAACCTAGATGGAATGTGGTAATTCTATTTTATTCTAGCTTTTGTGATTGAATTCCAGAATGAGTTAGAAATCATCACCAAATACCTGAATAGAAATGTTAACCCAATTCCCACTACAAAAAAAAACAAAACAAAAACAAAAAAAAAAAAACACAAATAACTATAAAAAAAAAAACAATCAACGAAACATAATTCATAAACATTGAAACTTTTGTTGACCAACTTTCATAACGAATACCCCAGAGAGCACCGTTCCATTCTATGCTGTTTTTGCAAGATATATTAGTTTTTTACTCGGAAGAGCATGAACACATTTTGCATGGTTCAACCAGTTTTGTGGGAAGATTTGTTCCTTGTATCCTTTCGATTTGTATAACAGACGACGAGAAGTATATACTTTATAAAAAAAAATTTATAAAACAAAAGCTCGAAACCCATTATGGTTAATTGTTCGACGTATTATTACATTGCGCCTACACATTTCGAGGTTTCATGTTACAAGTGTAAATGATACATTTCAGTTGTATGACTAACATGTTCACTATTGTGATGTGTGTGTGGTACAAAACGAAATTATTGGTTTTCTATCTTTTACCAACTAGGTGTAAATACGAAGAAACAAGCAGATACAAAAATGATGCTTGCTTTATTAGAAAAGTTAAATGGCTAAATTTTATGAAACATTTATCAAAAAAAAAAAATCATTAATATTTGTTAATTGGTTTTATTTTGATAAGAAATTATCTTTTGATAAGTTCGAAAAGTCTTCATATAAAATTCGTATTATTAAAATGAATTTCAAAATGAAAGTTCAAATTAAGATCCATTATTTAAATATTCAAGCTCATCTTTTTGTATTCATACAAAGATTAACAAATGTTAGTGGCTATGGTATCAAAACAAACTTACAGGTGTTTGTGGTTTATGTTCAAAATCTACTTTAAGTTCATCCAGTCCCTGAGACAGACGTCGTGTCTGTATTTTCAGCCTCAATTCGTCTTTTAATAAAGGCAATAAAGACTTTCTTGCAACTGACTCTTTTGCACGGTCATAAAGATCATTGTCAAAATTGTGAGCATCAGATGGCAGTCTAAATACTCTTTCATTTTCTTTGCGGTCCATTCTTGAAAAAAAAAAAATAAAATGTATACGCAATATATCTCAGCTACACTGGTGTTATCAAAGAAGTTTTCTAAGATGTTATTTCCGATTCCCTCTCCATGCACAGACTAGCTTTTTTATGTTTTGTCCAAATATATTCCTGACAGTAATCACATAATACATAAATATAACACGTGTTTTTTTTTTAATATTCTTTGCATTGACTCATGCTTACGCAAAATTAGGCTGTCTAAAAATAACTCTTCAGCAAGTTAAGGGTCAGTGAGTGGTAACCATGAACGAAACTTTGTGCACTTCCCTGAAATAAGGGAAATGGATTTATATACGAGCATTGACATTGTTACCTCATCCCATTATTGAATTCCATGATACATCGTACTAGTTTAAACTATTATTTGTACATGATTTATTAATACATGCAATATTTCTTTACAACATTTTATGCACTCTGAAGAGACAATTAGCCCTATGCTAAACTTGACACAATCACAAGCATTAAATTTTTAGTTCAGCCGTGTCAGTTTTATCATTATTCGCACAGTGTTTAAAATGCTGTTTTCTTTTCCAGTTGGTCTTTTCCTATAATGTAGAATCAAAAGTGAGCCGACATGATGTTCTATTTTTAAACACTACCTATTACATAAAAAAACTTACCAGCCAGGTAGATAGATAAATTTATCATACTGATTCCAAGAAGACCGTACATATTTGGTATTTAAAAATATTAATGTTTTATATGAATTTAAATTTATTTGAAATTAAATTTTGCAGGAATTATATATTCTTGCAATTAACAAAAGGGTTGTAAAAGATAATGTTCTAATAGACAGAAAAAGAAATATAAGAAAATCTTTTGATAATTAAAAAATTACAACATCCTATTCCTTAAACTTTATAAAATATCGTGCTTCCGATGCGCTTTTCACTTGCATTGCACACGACTTACCATTATTCTCTTAAAATAAGATCAAGACTTAAATGATTTTTTAATCTATTTTTGATTTTACAAATTTACCTATGATTAAAAAGTATAAGAATTACCAATAGGGTAGCGAAATCATTTATAACAACTTATATTTACTTCATTAGCGTTCCAAGAAGACCATATTGATTGCGTTTTTGAAAAATAGACTGACTTTTTGAATGAATATATTATTTGAAACTAGGCTTTGAAATAAACAGTTGCTTCCTGATAGTAATTGTTGAATTAGGAAGTTTGATTAATCAATACATTTTGTTTTGTGTAGTAAAGATCAGTAAGTCCATTTGTAAGAATGAAAAAAAACATTTCATTGTCCGTCCAATTACATTCTAAACACAATAAAACACCAATAACCCTCCAATAACTCGAGACCCAAAGAGTGTGTGACCTCTCAACTGGTATGTTTTAATTTGATAGTGTTGACATAAAATATGTACACGTTTAATTTGGAGTCTCAAAGGATATTTTAACTATGTGAAATTCTTTTTTCAATAATCCAATGTATCTGTAGTTTTACAATATTCATAACTGAAACATCTTTCTGATCTCTACAACCTCAAGAAAGCATACACATTTATGTATTCATTTTCATGTTGTGAGGAAGCGTATTTGACTTACCTTTTCTTATCTCATTACAACATGAACTTTTAAAAAAGCATTGTGGCTAAACACTAAAAAAAGTTTCTGTTGAAGTCCATATGTGCTTAATACGCCCGACAATTCAATCAGTTATGAGCAAACTCATCCATGCAATTATAAGCATTGCTTCAGTAGTAACTCGACAATGCTATGTATGTTGTCAACCCAAAAAATGCGAAAAATTAAAAAGCATTATTATTTAGCTTGGAACGATAATAATGAATTCTAAAAAAGTTAAAATGTATACCTGTTTTAGACATGTGCTATGGTTAAAAATAATTCCTTGTCATCTTTGTAGAATTATTTTTAGAACAGGTACTTTCTGTGTTCTTTATTTAGCATTGTTTTAGATAAATGCATATTATATGATTGATTCATTTCCCTAGGAAATTGGATAGCCATATTTATGTTTACAAATTATTTGTAAGCGTTGGCTTAAGATAATGCTAACGACTGCACTATATTTAACATGACAAAAAGTTTGCTGCAAGCTAAATTCCAAAGGTTTGTCTTCACGCTAAAAGCACCAATGTGTCATTGTTTGGGCCATGGGTTTTTCCTATGACAAACAATATTTTTTTTTGAACAGCAGGAACACGAAATGTTATTTATTCAAATCAATTTTGTTTTTATTTTGTTACTTATTTTAAGCAAAAACATAATCTATTCATTCACTGAAAGAAATTGCTTTGTATATATTCATATCGGACAAAGATAATGTACCTTCTAAAATATCTGAATAAAGACAGAACAGATAAGACATTTTTGACCTAGACGTCCTTTAAACAAAGGTGTTTTAAGTTTAGTTTTTTTTCAAATATTTTTGCCTTGGACATCACTAAAGAGACGTTTATTGTCGAAAACCGCATCTGGTGCAATAAATTTGGTATGTTTAATGATATTCCACAAACCTGTCCAAATTAAAAAAAATAATACTAGAAAATAATAAAAAGAAGCCTTGTCTCAATTTGTTTTTGATTTTAACATATTTTTGCCTTGGACATCACTGATGAGACGTTGATTGTCGAAATTCGCATTAAGTTTTAAAAAATAATATTTGAAAAAAATCGAGAGAAGCCTTTTATTATAATTGATTTTTTTTTTATTAGTTGTTATTGGCTTTGAACTAGCTGTCAGTAACTTCTAGTACTCTCAGATCTGTACTTGTCGTCTTTTTGTTGTGTGGATGTATAAGGTACCTGTCCACGTCCACTCTTTGCTTTTGTTAGATGTATTTCAATTTGTATCCATCTGATGAGTTAAGCCTTCTTCAACTGATTTTTATCGTTTGTACTTATGTTGTACTGTTGAACCACTCGCCCAGGTTAGGGGTAGGTTTGACTGCTCACAAACATGTTTAACCCCGCCACATACTTTATCTGCCCGTCCCATGTCAGGAGCCTGTAGTTCAGTGGTTTTCGTTGGTTCATGTCTGTCATATTTATTTTTCGTAAATTGTTTTGTTATAAAATAGGCCGTTAGTTTTCTCAATTTGTTTTTCTCATTGTTGAAGGCCATACAGTTGCCTATAATTGCTTACATCCACTTTATTTGAACTTTGGTGGATAGTTGTCTCATTGGCGATCATACCACATCTCCTTATTTTTATATTGTCTATCACCGCTTTAAAACGTTAGATGTTCTAAATCATATTCCTCAGATATAAACAAGAAATTAAAACAAAAAAGTCTGTGATAACACCGACAATACAAATTTTGGTCACTTTTGTAGCATTAATTGTTGTAACAATTGGTCGAATTAATATAAACTCTCTATCATATCCCATCCACCCTTTTCTGTTATAAGATATATATAATAGCGAACTTTGTATACGGATGATTATTAAATAGTTTAAATATATTCTATTGTATTAAGTAACAACTGGATTGGATACAAATTATAACAACTTAAGATAGTCCTTAAGTTTATTGCATCAGATAATACAATACATGTTAAGTCGGTGTTTCTAATAGTATTGTTCAAAGCTCTGAGTTCTTTTAAAGCAAGAGATAAAACAAATCAAACTCGAATTTAGTCAATTATATCTTAATCGTTTTTCTTAACATGGATGTTGATATTGTTCAAATATTCGTTTCCCTGCTTAGTGTTACTTGTATTTGATTTTCAAATGTATGAGTTTAACTATAATTGAAGTGAAATCCTACATAATGTGATGACGTCAAATCAGTTCAAGGTTGACATACCTGCTGTCATTCTCGCAGGAATTGCTGCCATTTTTATTATATGAAGATTTATTATGCTGTTTTAAAATATTACTTTTCTATTGAAAAAGGAGACAAAGTGCAAATGGCAATAAGACAGCATTTCAGCTTTCTTACTTAAGATGGAGTATTTTTTTAAACTAAAAGAGTAAGAATATATAAAAGGCCAGTGCTAACACTTTATGAAAAGGGGGGTATAATATTGAAAAACTTGTATGAAAATAAGAAGAAACAGCTTAATCTTATCCGATAAAAAATGCTGAAAAGATTTTTTAAATAAGCTCTAGACTCTAGATGGAGTTTTGTAATATTGTTTTTACTATAAACATATTTAACAATCTTCTTCCTTGATTTTTATTAACCTCCGATCTAGGTTTAGTTTTCCGTGATCATTCTATGAAACAACTTGAGATACACATTTTATTCCCAATAACTAGATATTTAAATGCCAACCCAGTAGTTACACACCCTATTACCGGCTATCATTGAAGATACAATAGGAAGTGTTCCCAATTGTCATTCAAAACAATTGTTTTTACTATCGCATGAATCAGATGTTTGTCTTCTTTAACGATTGCCATTTTAAAACAATGGATTTTGCAGTAGCGTACAGTAGATTTGATCTGTGTTATCTGTCGTATCGATAGATTGTAATGGGATGGGAGATGAATACATAGCCTCCCTATTTTTTTTTATTTTTTTTATTTTACAAGACAACACAGGAAAAACACAAAAATTTTAATTCTGGTATCTATGATGAGTTTTCTTAAATGCTCTGAATCAACATCCCGTGTATATAAGTGTCTTTTTTCCTTAAAAAAATGTCTGTACCAAGTCAGGAATATGACATTTGTTTTCCATTCGTTCCGTTGGTTGATATTGTCAAGCATATGGTTTCGTCAAGTTTTATGGACTTCTCCCTTGTAAATGTACCTTAGAGTCCGGTGTTTTTGTTAATACTTTTTGTGTGTATCTCAATTTCTCAAGAAAGTAAAACTGTGGTCAATATAAGTAAGGTTTAAGGTTTCAGTGTTATCGCTTGCATTTTGCTTTGACTTCGTATGTAGTATTTTAAATTTGCGTTCCTCCTGGTCTGTTTTTATTAGTCTTATATGTTGCCCTAAAGTTTCAACTTTAAGTATTGTTATCTTGAATACTACTTAAACCAGATAGGGATGAAGGTCCCGTTTAAAGTGTCTGTGTATTGTCTCCAGAAGGAAAGTAATCAATATCAATATGAATGTGGCTTCTTGTTTCATTGTTGTTGTTTCTGCATGATGTTCTGACTTTGCATGTTGTATGTTGGTTGTGCACTTTCCATAGTCGTTTTCATTAGTCTGATATAATGGTGTTATCTGTAGCTTTTTTATTTTGTCGTTGCGTAAATTTGTCACTTCGATGATTTCTAGAAATGTATGAACTGTCAGCTCAGTTATTGTGATTTTATTAAAACGTCGTTTTACTTCGAAGTTTCACTTCCCAATTCCCCGTAGCTTGATTGTTTTAACAAAAATAGTTAATCAATGTACGTATACATAGAGATAAGACATGAATTTAACCTGCGTGGTGGTTATAATTTAGTTCAAATAATAAAAAAGGAGTTTGTATTTTTATTTACCAAGACAGAAAGAATAAATTCACAAATTATTAAATCCATTTTATTACATAATCTTATAACTCTTGTATTGTTGAATGGTTCCTAGATTATTGTCGTTAATCATTAATTTATTATTTTTGAAAGCTTTGCTGAAAATATTGTACTTCAGAAAAAAAGTAAGGTTATAACACCATCATGCAAAGTTGACTTCCGACGGTTTGTCTAAAATATTAGTCTTTTTATATCTCTTGTTCCCTATGTATTATCATATTCTGACTGTCCTAATTTTAGCCATGAGTGTTCTTAATGAAGTCAGAAACTTTGCTTTAAACTTTAATTCATTTCTGGCAAATTGATTATAATATAGATTCACGCATTGAACACATACAATAGAATCGAAAATTTTCAGTTTGATTATTATTATAGTATAAATAATTTACTATATAAGATTATCGATCTCTTCCTTGTTGTAAAATCTATATGAAATAGGTTATTACATATTAAATCAAGAGCATAACAGGCTATAGTCCGGTATTTAATTTTTTTTTGTAATTGTTGACTTATTTTACAATTGTTCATTACGTTGTATATGGAAACTTTTCATTCCCTTTGAGTAGCGGTAACCTTATACTGCAGAATTTCGCTTTGTTTGTTTTTCATTTGTTTTTGTCGCCTTGTTTTTGTTTTTGCTTTTTGTTCCTTCTTTTGTTGATAAAGTCACTTTGGTATTAAAGATTTTAGTTGTTTTTTGCTTTACTAATTAATAAAACAAAAACACACTTTAAAATTTATTACTAGTAATTTTATGCAATATCATTTACATTTCAGTTCAAGCTAAGGATACAGTTCTGTAAGACAAATATATGAACGAACACACAAATGAAAGAAGAACGAATGAACGTACTTGTAAACAAACAACCGATTGAACTGACAAATTACCAAATAGATACGAGAGACTAAGATTAATTGAGTACAATCTGATTTTATGATCGGTTACATTTTGTTTGTAAATATTTATCAAAATGTCAATAAATTAAGATATCATGAGTGATCATAGTTATAATTTGTCTATTTTTTTATCATTGGAAAATACGTTTAAAAAATATCAGTTACACATCAGCCAATGAAAATCGATGTATATATATTACAATGAACTCTCTTCCTGGTGAACGAATGTATTTACCGAAGACTTGATTGATATCCGTTTATTTTATTAGTAGATAGATCCATTTCAGAAGTCGTACACAGCACTTAATGCCCTTGTATTCAATACTGGACATAAGGTTTAACTTATGTCGAATACGATCTATGATAAAAATTTCTACTCAAACTCGTATTCTTAGGAAATATAATTAATATGGAATGCATTGTGAAAATTGTGTAAAGAAAGATAACTTCATGATCTATTTTGCATATCTCTTTAACTTTCGAGTCCATTTCTTTATTTAAAAAAGTAGGCATTACGAGAAGAACCATTACCAGTTCAACTGTTAGTAAAATAAAAAAATAATAATATTCGCAGTGTTTCAGATTCACTTATTTTTCTAAATCGCATGATTGATATTTAAGTTTTGTCGATCGTGTAATATAACTTATAATGCAAAAATCCCCAATATTTTATAAGTTGTATGCGTCCGAAGCGGTTTTCAAGATTTATCTTCACCAGGAACGCTCAAAGTCGAATATTTGAAAGCCAAGTCTGCATAATAACTGAAACAGTGGAAGAGCTATATGATCAAAGAAGACCTTGAAAGAGATACTAAATCTATTTCGGGTCAACTTTGCCTGAGAGAGTTGGTACCTCAAGTTTGCGGTACAGTCGGTGATATGCATATATAGAGTACTTGTACTAGTATTCATTGACGCTATTTTAGATTACATTATCAATGGAAATACATTTGACTATATAAATAACTATAAAAGAAATATGAGATATAAAATCAAAGATAAATGAGAAAAGATTGAGTTACGCATATGCCTTATGAAACAAAAGATTGTGTTTGTACTGAAGAAATGGAAATCTGTTATAGGGAAACTGAATTTTTCCCTGTTTTAAGTTATCTATTTGAAGATTTATCTAACACACATGCTACTTTATCCTTGAAGTATATCTGAATTCTAAACCGACACCTACAAATCCGAAACTTCAAACACACTGAAGCTTTCTGTATGGCCTGAGTTGATCATAATATATATATATAGTTTATTATACATTAAGGATATGTGGTAGTGTATGATCGAAAATGAGAAAACTATCCACCAGTGTCCAAATGACGTGGATTTAAGCCACTTTGCATACACACGGTTTTATGTTTTGTCTTTATTTTTTTTCTCTCTACCAAATAAGACTATTTCCTCGTGAGTAGAAAATAGTGGCAGTACAGTATCATGATATCCTGAGGTATCAAATGGTAATACGTACATACAAACACTTAAATCATTTGCTATTTGAGAGGCTAAGAAGCTGATGTTTTGCGATATTCTGATCAAATTTTTTGGGTAGTTCAAAGCCAAACATAAAGAACCATAGACATAACGCACTTGGAACAAGTAAAAACTCATGAGGACAGCTATTGCAAATAGGAGATTTATATTATTGACATCTAATTTTAATGGATTCTTCTTTCAAAACACAGCAGCGCTGCATGCGGTACTTAAACTAATCTGTGGATTTTCTATTAGACTTTAACTTAAGTGATTTTGTTGTCCGTTTTTTTTTTCTTTGCGTTTGAATTGTGTTTTCTTTAGAACTCCTCTTTACTTTTTTTTAGATTCACAGACGGTGCCCAACAGACCTGTTATGGTGTTTTTCATATTTTCTTTCAAAATCGTTTATTTTCTAATTACAGCTGCAGGTATCATTTTGTTTTCACTATTATGTAGATCAATGTTTTGCAAATTTAAGCAGGAGGTAGATTAAAAATAATCAAGCATATAATATATTAAGTTGTTATAGTCTTCTTGAAGAAGAGTTAAAAAAAAATGAAAACAACGCTTTATAAACTGTATGCGTTTGTATCGCTTTTCTGGTTTTAACTTTAAAGCTGTTTATGTACTTGAAAATGTCCACTCGTCATTGTTTTATTGGTATAATACATTAATATCATAATGAAGAAACTAAGGTTGTCTAAATAGGAGATTTAATCCTAATGATTTAGCACATTTTCTGTTTTGATTTCACACAAAATATCTAAAGGTTCTCCATACAACTCAGTAAAAATGTTCATAATTTCGGGAGAACTGGCTAGTTTTGACATATAATAATCCTTCTCAGTTTCTATTTTGCGTATTGTGTTCTTTAAAAACTGATTTCTTTTCTCTAAATCATGGAGCTCCTGAAATAAAATAATAAAATCAAGATAAAGACTTTATCATGGTTGATAATGGAGAGAAAAAAAAATCACTGTGTTTTATCTAAAAGGAAAAGAAAATGAGGTGCATGCCTATGAGACATTTTCCACGTTCAAACTTGGAAATAAGCGAAGAAGTATCGCTTTTGCTTCAATTTTACAGCTGCCGAAAGGTTGTCTACAGCGAAAAAGCCAACATTCTACAACAAGTTCACGAAGCCTGATATAACGAATATAAAGAGAAAATATTGAATTGTTGTTAAAAAAATAACACAATTTCTAGTTTCTACAATATAAGGCAGCAAAAATGTAGAAAGAAAAAGGTATGTCCAATTTCCCCCCGTATGTATTTCATATGATTTATTTCACTCGCACTAGATTAGAAAGTTATAATAGCATATGTGAATCGTGGTACAAGAGTCTATACAACACACTTAAAACACTTTTCAATTTTATTCAGCGCTACAGATTGCTGTAGTAGACATTTTTTATATAATACTGCAAAGGTATAAGGATTTTGTAAAATTTAGCATTTGAGGACATACATAATCTTATTGAGTCTTCAAAACAATGTATTGTTTTAATTCGAATACATTGTTTTCATACATACTCCAATGCCAAACTCTTTCATTGCGGTTTTGATCATAATATTGTCAGATCCTCATAGTACACGCACACATACAGCTTTGATACTGCGAATTTGAGTAAAGAATGAAAGATCTTATGAAAATGGTCCTGTATTGAAATAAATTCGGTGGTGGTTTCGGGGGGATCTACGATACAAAAATAATACACTTGTTTTCTTAATTAGGTACGATCAGTCTAAAATAATTGCAAAAATACTTGTGCATAAAACCAAATATGAAACATGCACATATCTGTGTTGCAAATTGCCTAAAACAAACGATTCTTATCTTTAATGAACTTTTCCACATTTCCATCTTACCTGTTGTTTCCGTGAATAAAATATTTTTTTTTTATATCGACATTTTTTAGCTGACACTCTATTGTGCATTTTTCTGTGATTTTGTTTTTCTAGTTCTTCTTCTGTAAGCTATAAATTTATGAAAAGGAAAAAATTAGTAGTTGTATACATTTACGTGAAGTTATTCTTTCTCCAGTCTCCTGAAATGTTTTGTTTTGCCCGAATACCACTTTTTGACGGTTTGTGCATGTATTAAGCAACACCGAGAGGATTAAGATTGTATAGCCTTTCAGAGAATCTGAGTTCAATCCAGGGTTTAGTGAGGTTCCTGTTGCCCAATCTTTAGTTTTCTATATGGTTTTATAAATGACTTCTGTTTTTTTAGTGTTTTGTATGTTATTCGACGTATGGTTTCTGACTGCCTCTTGTCATTTCATATTTTTCTTCGAGTTTTTGCAATATTTTCTTGTTTTATTTGGAATTATTCATCTTAAATTAAGTTCTGACTTTACCTATCGCTACCCTCACACAATATCAAAAGAATATTGGATGAAAACTTTATACTCTTCTAGTTATTGAAAAAAAAATAAATACATGTAATTCTAGCTATAATTTGTACTCTCAGATCTCTTGAATGCATTCATTAATCTGATGTATTTTGAAACATATTTAGACATAAAGTTTAAACAATCCAAACTTCAATGTTTTTTTTTTTTGCTTGACCCATAATTTGCAAATAAAGTTATAATGAAAAAAAAATACCAAAAATGTTTAGACTACAACTTGAGAAAACTGAATATAATTATATGATATACGCAAGAAATATAGTTTTATAATTGTAAGTAACTTACAGGGGATTGTGGTTTGCTTTCAAATTCTACTTTTAGTTCTTCTAACCCTTGAGATAGACGTTTAGCTTGTATTTTAAGTTTTATTTCATCTTTCAGAATTGGGAGTAGTGACTTCGTTTCAACCGATTCCTTTGCCCGATTGAAGAGATCGGGATCATAGTTGTACGCATCGGACGGTAATCGTAGTAAATTTTCGTTTTCCTTTCCCAACATTCTGAAAATAAATTGAAAAAAAAAAAATTAGTCGATACTCCGAGCATATAATCTTTTTCTAACAGATTACCAAAACATTTAAAATTGCAATATGTATATATATATATATATTCTACTGAATAGACATATAGAGGGACAATAAGAGATAGAAACAGCTGGAAAACACCAAGGAAGATGTAAAAACAATGTATAGTTAGTCAAGCGACAGTAACGTGCAAACAAACAACACTGAAAATGAAAACTTGGGATATATCATCTCTCATATCAGCCTTATATGATACCAGGTGCACCAGAATATTATCATATCTTGTTTCGCATATAGCATGCATCCACTATTTTCATTATCAGAATCAATAATAGTTACAACCGATGGGACAAGAAAAATTGTTTAGTGAAATATGTTGTCATTCACCTTGTGATGCAATCTCTTCGAATTGAACAATAAACTCGTAATGGCGGTCACAAAACTAACTAAGTTATGACACTAACTAAGTGTGTATTAAAAATGAATTAAGTTTGCTACATATATATGAAAATAAATAAGCTGTTCCACTGCTCCATTGCTCTTTTTTAGAACGTTCAAGTTATATAAAATGTTCTTATAAACGCATGACATGATAATTTGCATAGAACACGTGTTTCTGAAGGACAACCAACAATGTAAAATCTTTGGAGAGTTTAAAAATAAAAAGGTCTTAAAGAGAACCGCAAAACCAGTTAATTTGAAAAAAAAAACAGATAGATAAAATATAGTGTTTATATTGTTGAAGGAAAAAAATTATAGAAAATTAACTTTGAAAGGATATTTAGAACTTTTTTATTATACAGTGAATTGTGTGAAATATCATGCATATCCACCCAAATCACCTGGATATCCTTTTAAGAATGAACAATAAAAAAAAAAGGAAAATATGATACGTTTGCAAAAAAGAGGGGGAAACATTAAAGGGGTAATAAATATCACACGAGTGAAGTATCATATCATGGCAAAAGAGCAAAGAAAAAAGAAGTGTAGCCAATTTTATTAACTGAACATTCATCAAATACAACAGGAAAATGAAAACATTGGATATATAATTTTTGGCAGCAAAATGATAATTCAAATCGGCCCATAATGCTTTCATTTATTCCACTTTTTCAAAAATATATATGACTATGTTTTGAGAAATAACGTTATATCGTTTATAATATTTCGTATCACCAAGAAAAATGTGTACAAACATAGGATAGAAAAAGTAAAAATCTAAATATTTCTGAGCGGAGGGAGGCGTCTCCTGGTATGCATGCATGCATGCAGCAGCCATCGTACGATCCATATGTAAACATGAATGAGTAATAAAGACATAGATGAGATCACCATTAAATTTCTGGCTAGAACAAAGTAAATATGTTTTATTATAAAGGGTGGAACCACTGCTATCATTTTCACAAATATCATCCAAGGGACAAGGCAACAAAAAAGCCTTAGGTTATGATTTTTAAAATAATAAAAAAAAAAAGAAAAAAAAAAGGAACAGAATTTTTTATAATCTCTTGCATTTGAATTTATTTTCCGACGCCCATAACACTTACCTGCAATTGATGCCTACTTGCATTTGCAGTGAACAAGAATCCAAGAATTAAATGCATTAACTCTTGTCTGCGAATTATATGGGCTGCTCGCAAAACACTTTTCTCAATAACATGGATGATGCATGCTTATCCATGAGACCATTACGAATGGCGTCTCTATCAAACCTGTGTGATCATCATAGTGGTCACTTTTATTCTAGTTTTTTTACATCTTGCGTTACCTTATCACACATATCAGTGTTCATGGAACTATGATAATGATTTTAAAATAGTATGTACCTGTTTGAAGGCGTCCTTCCAAAATATGTCCTTGTAATAAATGAAGAACAGTTTATTAATAGAGCAGGTACTTTCTGAATTCTATTTATAACTTATTGTAAGCTGTCGATGCACAACGAGCAAATATTCTATACATTCTTTAATATTTTAGTGAGATTTCAAGACTATTATATAAAAAATTAATGTCAGTTTTAAGTTAAATTATTACTGAAATTTAAACTGTCTGGCTGTAAAAAAGATTTTTTGTCATACCGATCATGTATTTACAAATTTTACTTTTTAAAAAATTACCACAATTTTTTTATTTTTTACTTTGAATATATAATCATTTACTTTCCTAACCGTATGCATAAAACCATAAAATTTTAGCAGTATACTAATGAAGAAAGCAAAACTAAAATGATCGTGATGACCTAAAATAAGTTCCAAGAATTGGAACTGATAAGAAAATAGCATTCTCTTTTTAAATATAGTAAAAACTTGATGAAAAATATGCACAAATATTTTTACTCGAATATACATGTATTTTTTACAATGAAGTGGTCTTAAGAATTATGCCTTCACTTATTTTACGTAAAAAAATAGCATTTAAACATCAACGACATTATTATCATTGAATATAACCATAGATGTATGGGTTTATACATCTATGATATAACGATCGTGATAAAATCATAAATGACTGTTAGAAATGTTGTTCGTCGATATCATCATACTTCAAGATTTTGAAAAAGTAAACTGTCCGATTGTCGATTGGGTACACCAATAACTGAATTACCCGAGTGTAATTAGTAAAATAAGTTAATAAGGTGGAAAATACTCTAGACAAACAAGGCTTCTTTATTATACCTATCTAATAGCAAGTTCAATAATCATTTCAAGAATATTGTGCCATAAAAAAAAATCCTCGATTCGTTGCTATCCTTGTATTATTTATACAAAATTAAGGGGGAAACAAGCAGTTTTACTGATATATGTACCATTTTAACTGTACATGAGTTCTTGTACCGGTGTTTTGCATGTTAGTCTACTTATCGGCAATTGATAGCGAAAGGGAAATTAGAAAACATTTAGTGAATTTGTCAATGGAATTGAAAATTATGTATTAATATTTTGACACTACTAATTCTAGAAATTAAAATTAAATATTATAATATTATTAGATAAAAAAAATCATTATAAAAAAGTGAGGGGAAAGCTAGATTTTAGGAGTGTGAATTGTTACATCAAGTTTATATTTTTTAGTATGAAAGTATTATGGAACACACAGCGGATCGAGTTCGGAAAAAAAACATTGGTTTATATAAATACCGTATTGGAATTTTTATTGCAATATTTCTAAATTAGACGGGATATAAATAGATTGCGTAAAACAATCTTAATGCATTCAAGAGAACGATAAACAGGTTTTCCCGTATTATCATGCAAATAAATTAACATTTAAAGAAAATAAAACAAAAGATAGATTGATGTTAAGGAAATAAACAAAACATAAAAAACATTTGAATAGTGTTGTAGAATGAATGCAATTCTTTAAACAAATTTTAAAGTTTATTGTACTACGTGTACTTTACACATGCGCTACGATTTTTCTTTGCCAAAAAATGTAAAATAGTTTTTTTTTCTTTTTTACAGACACTGAATATTAAAAGTTGTCGCTCAATACACTAAATGGAATACCTTGCCAGGCAATACTATAATTTGAATCGTATATCGGAATTAAAAAAAAAAACCTGTTAAGTAACCTAATTTTTTAGTGCATTTAAGCCCATGCAAAGAAAGAGCACTTTTAATTCAATTCTAAATTAGAAGAGTATGGGTTTTTCTCATTGTTGAGAAGGCCGTATGGTTGCCTATTATTGCTCACATCCACTTCATATGAACTTTGGTGGATAGTTGTCTCATTGGCAATCATACAACATCTCCTTATTCTTATACATTTCTAAGTTAAACAGAAAAAAAGTAAAAAAGAAAAAAAGAACTTTTGTTAAATTCAAAACTAAAAATATGAGGTAACATTTACCGGAGTTCAAAACTCGTAAATACATTTTGAATATAAAACCCAAGAAAAAAACCTAGAGGAAGTAGCATGACTTCCAAACGGAGATGAAACGGTGTGCCAACAAGTAAGGCGTCTGTTGCTACATGTATGCATGCATCATTCTTCATGTGAATTCAGACTCAGTATTTTTTTTTACTATAGGCAACAGGACACAATAGGTAGATATCAGACAATTACTCTGGAGTCTTTTTAAAAAGATCTATGGTCGGTAAACAAGTTTCTCGTGAACTGAGACATAGACACATTCTTTCAGTCCACCAATTCGTGTAGTTATTATTTCATTTTTTTTTATCATAAGCCGGGGTGTTTTAACGTTAGGTGCGCGCCCCTATGGCAAGCCATTTTACTATTTATTTTAACTTCAAGATATCTCATATAATATATAAGATATCTTATATAATCTAGTGTTTATTTATATACTTTATAAGATATCTTATAAACTTTAGAAGATATCTTATAAAGTTTAGATGATATCTTATAAAGAAAATTATATGAGATATCTTATAAATCATATAAGATATCTTATATACTTTAAAAAGATATTTTATATACCTTATACGATATCTTATATAGTTTATAAGATATATCATATAATTTATAAGATATCTCATATAATTTTTAAGATATCTCATATAATTTTCATTATAAGATATCTTATATACTTTATAAGATATTTGATATATTATATGAGATATCTTATATGTTTTATGAGATATCTTATATAAAAATTATTTATAAGATATCTCCTAAAGTTTATAAGATATATTATATAAATAATTGCATTGAAAATCAAAGTCTCCCTTTAAATCAACCAATCAAAAAATATTATCAAATTAAGTGTGAACTAGTAAACTGGTTTCCTACGTTTCATTCTATAGATATTCGTGTCCATGACTCAATCTTAGCAAAACCTACTAATATTATTGCCTATAGGATATTTTATTTCTTGTCCGTATCTAGTTTCTATTATGATTTTCCGTGTATCGCTATGTATACGTTATATGCAATTTTATATGGTCTTCAATTAAAGGTTTATTCTGTTATTGCTTTGTTAATGCATGATTTGGTGATTCATATATATAGCATGTTTCGCTTATATATATGTACTTAAACTTATATTTATTATCTTTAACTGTTAAACCCTGATTTGACCTTTTCTCGGTAGATTGTTCGGTGGTTAATTATATACTTTTACACATCTATTTATTTGAAAGGATTTTCCCAACGTAAATGATCTGTGGCAATCAACTGCATGGTCTTCTATGAATTTCTTTAATTTGATGATATTACACCTGGTGTTTCGGATATCATTTAGGTCAAGTTCGACCAAGGCTGTTCAACCTCGTCAGGTGTCCAGGCCTAATTCATTTTTATTTACTATAACATTTGATTATAATTACTTTTTAATTATAATCAATATGTTTCTATCGTGTAACATTTTTGGGGTTCTGATGTAGGGAGCGTTTGTTATTTAAAAATAATGGTTGAAGTCTCGTTTATAAGATATCTTATAAAGTATATAAGATATCTCATATAATTTTCTTTATAAGATATCTTATGACTATATAAAGTATATAAGATATCTTATAAAGTTTATAAGATATCTTATAAATATCTTTTATATAAGATATCTTATATACTTTGTAAGATATCTCATATAGTTTTATAAGATATCTTGTATAGTTTATAACATATCTTATATAGTTTATAAGATATCTCATATAGTTTATAAGATATCTTTAATAGTTTATAAGCCGATGATATCTTATAAAGAAAATTATATGAGATATCTTATAAATTATATGAGATATCTTATAAACTATATAAGATATCTTATAAACTATAAAACTGAAATTACTAGGTTTATATTAGACCAAAGTTTGAAGTCATCTATCTATGTTAATTTAAAATAAAAGATAGATATGAACTGACCTTACAGTTTCGGTTGTATCCATAATATCAAGTTCACAGAGAATTATTGGACGCAAGAATAAACTGAAATGATTGTAAATGAGATTTTTTTTAAACTAACAGTCTCCGGCTCATTCAAATGATCAAGTAAATCTTAAAAGCAACATTTTTTTAAAGTAGCAGACAAAAAAATCTACTTTAAAAAAAGCACAGTAAATCACTTATACATGTATCACATTTACATTAGGTATGTCTACGTAAATTGGTGTTTATTGCATTTGTGTTTATTGAATGTTAATAACTACAATTAGGAATTAAAGTTGCACTAAGACCTATAAATAAATAGTGAGATTGGCCTTTAAACTAAATTTATAAATACAAATTATGTATCTTATTTTTTTTATGGTGACCTTTCTTTTTTATTGTTTCAATTAAGCAATATACCAGTAGCATCTGCTTATTGAGAATAGTTATACCTCTCGGTTGATACGATATTCAAGAGCTTTTGTCCCCATATCAGAATTTCCTTAAGGTTTTATAAAATTTCTTGTTTCTTTCAATGCCAATTTGTATTATATTGTCTTTGTTTTATCTCCTGATACTTTTTTGATTTATTCTAGTTATGCACCCTAAGGGTTGACTGGTTAAATGAAAAATATATTTACCAAGATTTCTCTCATCCCCCAGTCAGACCCTTGCTAGAGAGGAGCGTCTGCCGGAATGTATAAAAGCCCGGCCACGTCCGGTCATATAGGAGTATTTAATCCGATGCCTCGTGTAGAGAAAGTGATCATTGCATGTTAAGGGCGTACGATACAGTTTTGATCCCATAATGAAAATTTGATGAAAATTTGCAAATAGGCTATTTTTTACCTGATTAAATCAAATATGTAATAAAAAATATACCTTCATGTGCTACTTTTTGATTAAAATGAGTTCGAAATTTCAGATATTTGCTCAAAATTCGGATTTGTGGTTGTATTTTTCCTTCCTACAGAAATGCATAACTTTTTTGTTTTAAAAGATAAACACAAGCTGTTTTTTGTTAAATTATTTGTAATTTCTGTTATAATATAAGCATCCTATAAATTTATGAAATCGTTTGTTTAGAAATAACTCAAATTCATCAAATGTTCATGAATGTAGAAAAAAACGTCATTTTTTGCTGTATATTTATCAAATTTAAAAAAAAATGCATTATTGACTTTTTCATGAAAATTGGTACAAATAATCTTCATACGTAATCAAACCGAATGTCATTTTAAAAAAGAGGGGTCCATGAACTCGTTTTCAAGTTAAATAAGTTTGAATGATAAAAATCAGTCGAAAAATACATCTTTTCCCGATATGTCACAGTTTGACGTTGCCAAAATAACATTTTACGTTAGCAACGTCATTACCTCCCCTGTAACTGTATCGTATGCCCTTCGAGTGGTTCATAAGTAGATTGTTTAGTGATAGAAGATTTACGTCTTTATCTATCTTATATAGATATAAGAAGGTGTGGTATGAGTGCCAATGAGACAACTCTCCATCCAAGTCACAATATATAAAAGTAAACCATTATAGGTCACAGTACGGTCTTCAACACGGAGCCTTGGCTCACACCGAACAGCAAGCTATAAAGGGCCCCAAAAATTACTAGTGTAAAACCATTCAAACGGGAAAACCAACGGTCTAATCTATATCCTCATTTTCTGTGGCAATCTGAATTTATTTCTCGTCCTTTATCTTTGACGACTTACTTAACAGAACATACCCTTTGCAAATTAAATTGTTAATTTTTGTTTTTGCTTCGAGTATGCGTGAATTATTTGTCTCTGGACTTTTAGCAAGCAACAATTAATGTATCATTTTCAAAGGTAAATCAATTTGCGCTTTGTTTTTCTCCTTCTTTCAGACTTTGTAATACTTTTTAAATAGAAATGCTAATATTTAAGAACGAATGTGTTTAAACCCTCCACATTATTAGTATCTTAAATGAAAAAGTTACATGTCAATTCAATCAAGATTCAAGCTGCAGTTTTCTTTTTTATAGCCAGTGCTGTGTAGCTTAAGCCAACTTAATTGAAGTAATGTTCGTTTGCATTTTTCTATACCTGCCAAAAAAAAAAAAAACTAGCTTATAAATCTGTAGCTAATAACAGCTGTACGAATATGCTCAAATTAATTTTAAAGATAATGTCTACGTGTTTAATAAATTAATATAATATTTAACACATTTACATCAAAATAACACAAAAAGGTTGATTTATAGATATTTAAAGTTCTAAATCTGTAGTTTTGAAATATTATTTCAGCGTAAAATCATAAAACGCCATGGCTTCCTTTCACATGAAACACAGACATAAAGAAGAGAGGAAATTTAAAACCCATGAACAACAAAACAAAATCAAATCAAATGTGTTATATTTTCCTTATTTCAACTTAATTCATTGATCTTTTTTTCTTTTCTTAATTCTTTGATAATCATTTTGATTGTTCTAACTAAATAAAGATGGGAAGAAAAATATTCATGTGACAAAAGTTTGTCTTAGACATTACAACTAGATGCCTCCAAATTTATTGTAAAAAACTATACTGTGTTTAAATATTGCATTGATTAGTAAACCGTTACAGCAGAATACTTTACAATTGACGAATTATTTGAACACCCTTTCTTCATATTCATTATTTACATATATACAAATTCATAAAAACGTACATAAACTTCGTCTGAATTTAAGCCCGACATTGTTCGATATCTATAACAAAATTTTGTTATTGGATTATGTTATTTTTAAAATATAACACGTATTACTATTCCTTCTTGATATATTAGCCTTACATTGTTGGTTTTGTTCTACATTTGAACCAGGATATATCTGAAAATTTTCACAGGACATAACAACCTAGTAAAACTGCTAGATAACCTCTAACATAATATATACTTATACCTGGACTTCCAAATAAGGAGATAACATGATTATTTTTTCTGTTAGAAGAAATTGATAAACATATTATGTCGAAGTACATCCTTCAACAATTAACACAAGCCAAAGGCGGATGAAAGTTCAAGAAGTTTCTAAAAATGTTAAACATATAAATATAGACCGTGTCAGCAAATATGGGACGTTAACAACAAAACTTACTTTGAGAAAATGATACTAATTCTTACATGCGACTAGAAAATGCTAGTATTTCCCTAAGCCCTAAAATTAATGAGCGAATGAAAAGGAGATGTGAGCTATATGTTGTCAATGAGACAACAAGCCAACGAAAAAAAACCCAGCCCAGTCACCTAGAGAGCAACACATAGTCTTCAACAAAGACCAGCATCTATAAAATATGTCAAGATTTAAATCATCCCGCGGTATCGTTTATTGAAAGAACAATATTATAAACACATGCGAAACGGCTATGCATTGGGTCGTGGAAACATACGAAGAAGCCAATGGAACATCACAATCGTGTAGTGTAACGATTATAACTTAAATAATATTTCATATTTAAGCATTGTCTTATGAATACGATAAAACACGAGGCATTTTACCAATTCATTGGTGTGTAATGCATATCATCAAAGGGTTTAATTAACACGAGTTACATGACGGATATCACACGTGACCTGCTTACATTGTTAGTGCTGTCCTATATTAGAACCAGGATACATCTGAAAATTTTCACAGGATATATCGACCTAGTACAGTATAACTGATTGATAACCTCTAATATATACATTTGTCTTTTCGGGGCATTTTAAAGCTTGTTATGAGGTATGGCTTTTAATCACTATTGAAGGCCGTACGGCGACCAACATTTGACAATTTCTACGTCATTTAATCTTTGGTGGAGTGTTGTCTCATTTGGCAATCATACTGCATCTTTTTATATTCTTATTATAGAAACTTCTTGAACTTTTCATCCGGCTAGTGTTAGTTCTTGAAGGATGTTCTGTGACATAATATGATATTGATTAATTTATTCTATTATCTCCTTATTTGGATGTGCAGGTATAAGAAAAGTGTCATAATATAAGTGTAAAAAAAACAAAAAAAAAAAACAAACAAGAAAACTAACGGCCTGCTTTATTCTCAAAACAATCGACGAAAAACAAATATGATATACAACAACAAACGACAACCACTAAATAGCAGGCTACTGCATGACTTTGGAAAAGCATAAAATTATACAGAATGTAAAACTTAGTTTTCTCGTTTTGATTTTTTTACATATTATTTTGTTCATTATATGTCAAAGAACATCCTTCAACAATTAACATTAGCCGGATGAAAAGTTCAAGAAGTTTCTATAATAAGAATATAAAAAGATGTATGATTGCCAAATGATATGTAACACTCCATCAAAGACTATAAGGGGTTAAACGTTTCTATAAGATGAATAACATATTAATGTAGACCGTTTCAATATATTAGAAACGAAAACAACACACTGACTCAGAAAATGGTAATTTCGGAGCATCTCAGTTCATCCCCGGTTTGTGGTGGGTTTGTTGTTCCATCATCAGTTTTCTGTTTAGTGTTTATTTGTAGACTGTAAAATCGCTGATGCATGCACACATATTGCTTGCAACTAATGCAACGAATAAACAGAATATAAAACTTTTTTTGTTTTTGGCTACAATTACATGATTAAAAAAAACCAATCTCACATACAGATCTTTATTGAAATGAAATAATCACATTGCACATTCATTCAAGACATACACATAGAACTGTAATGTTATATGAGGTAGAAAGACATGAGGGTTTACCTAATTTCGCCGTTTCAGAATCTAAAGGATTGTGGATATTTTCATTGTTTGTACCCGAAATGAAAATAACGGCATGTCATTGGTTGAATTTCCATTGTTTAGAACGTCCTTAGCTAATCAAAGGCTTTGGATGTACAGTTTTGAAAATAATACCCAGAATGCATTTGATTCTGAACCGGCGAAATAATATCAGAAGATTTACATAGTATTTTTTTTTTCGTTAGAACAGACAACTGCCTGCTTTTTTTTTGCTGCTATTCGAAAAACTTATATTCTAGATAACAAAAACTATTGTTAAATTTTCGTGAATTTTAAGCTTAAAAAAACATGAACAATTTATTTCATTTGTAAATGAATTATAAAGTTTTCAAATTTGAAAACGAGTTTAAAAGTCTTTTAATGAGAGAGCCTGCTACAGTACCAACAGACACACTCTTCTGTTCTTGATGGAATTATTCAAAACAGAGTTTATCGTTACCAGGGATGGTAGTTTATATTAATGAATGGTAGTATATTAGTGACTATCATGTATTCATTAGAGGACTTCCCCGTGTAAGTTGTGCTTGTTGCAGTCTTGGGTGATTAGCTGGAATTGAAGTGCACCTCCCTCCAACTGCATGACTGTGAAGCACTTGATTGAATACTTTTGCACACAGTTTAAGCTTTTTAATATCAGAGTTTAAGGATCTTTGCTGATCTTCTAGCATTTTGCATTCCTAAAAAAAATGAGATACACACTAAGAAATCCAAAAAATTAAAAAAAATTAAAAATAAACTTATTTCTAAAAACAAATTCATATTAAAAATTTTAAACATTTACATTTGATTTATCATAAATTAACTTTTTTTGGAGTAATTTTAAGAATTATTGTCAGATCGTTGACGTATGGCCTTTATTATTTTATCAAAATTATTTACGAATTTTCTAGACTCAGCTGAATAATGACTTGACGTACTGCGTAGACACGTGTATGTTGTTGATGACCGCATATTAATCTCTAAATGTCTAATTGTTGGGTTTTTTTTTTGTCGTTGGTTTGTCGTCTCAATAATATATATCCGACTTGTTCTCCTCCATTTAGTTATATTAAACTTATTAATTGTTTAGTTTATAAACGTACTATGTGACTCCCGAGTTTTGCACATTTTTTTTTTATTATCCAGTCGATGGACTTATAAATTGTTAAGTTCCAAAATATACAATGTGACTCCCGAGTTTTATATATTTTTTCTTAAGAAATAATCGATACAAACATTATTTTCATTTACCATCACATTGAATTTTCTACTTTTTAAATCAATTATTGATTAGATTAATCATCAGATGAGTATAATATTCACTTACATCTTCTAAAACTTCTACTCTACGTTTTCTTTTTACTCTTGCTTTCTCCGCGGATTCTCTGTTCCTCTGTTTTCTGTTTTCCATTTTTGTTTTTTCTTCAGTTGTAAGCTAAAAAGAAGAAAATTATACCTTGGATGAAATTCATATTCATTGTTTGAGAGTTTTGTAATGTTATATTTAAATGCTATATATCTATACCGATTTTCTTTTTAATCCATCGACACTGATTGATTGTTATTTCCTGAGCGTCCAGTGGCTAATATTTCATGCATATTTAGGACGAAAACATCAGTGGCTAATATTTCATCCATATTCAGGACGAAAAGAAAATTAACAATATTCAATAGGAAGGTTATGTTTATTTAGGCCGACCAGATTTAACGGAAGACAAGGCTGTCACTAGGAAAAGAGGGTGCATTAAATAAGGGGAAAAACTTACAATGGGTCACCTCAAAACCCTTAAAGAGTGGTAACAAGAGTTATTTTACACAAAGAGACTCCCGCCAAGAAAAAAAATCATTTTAAGTGAATTTGTAAAAAATTAATGTAAATGATACTAAAGCAGATGATGCGACATATTCTGTAGAAACATGTGTTGATAAATTTAGACATGTGAATTGATTTTTATATATAAATAGAATAATCATGATAAGTTATAGTTAATAATTTCAATAGCTTGATTGTTTACAATATATCGATAGTAACATGTGCTTCACTTTTGTGACATGCAATCAGATGATATGATATAGTGTTTATCATCATCACGTTGCCTTTGATTTTTAGTTTATATATGAAATTTGGTACGAGCATTTTTATGACTAAAATGACCTGAATTAATGCCTATTTCGTTTAAGTAATAAAAATATATACCTAATCAATACAATAAATCAACTTCATTAAAATAACAAATGAATATTTATTGGATATCTATTAAATTTGCTGATTACCTAATTATTGAAACAATATCGCTTTACCTTACATCATTCCATTGGATGAATTGCCGTTTCTCATTTTTTTTAAAGGGCATATGATACAGTTCCATGGGAGGTACTGACGTCGCTATCGTAAAATGTCATTTTTCGCGACGTCAATCTGTGACATATCGGAAAAAGATGCACTTTTTCGACTGATTTTAACCATTAGCTTGAAAACGAGTACATGGGCCCTTCTTTTTTAATATGACATTTGGCTTGATTTATATGAAGATTATTTGTACCAATTTTCATGAACAAATTACAGAAGATTTTGTTTTTCGTTAGACAAATATACAGAAAAAGTGTCGGTTTTTCTTCTTCTAAAATCATGAAAACTTAATAAAAATTAATTATTACCATAGAAAATATTTTATAAAAGAAGATATTTCATTTTTTAACAATCATCCGCTTTAGTTTATCTTTTGAAACAAAAAAGCTAGGTATGTCTGTCCAAAGGATAGAAATGTCCAAGAAATCGAAATTTTGAGTAAATGTCTTAAATTTCGACCCGATTTATCTCTAATAGTAGCATACGAAGTGTATATTTTTTTATTACAATTTGAATTGATTTGGTGAAAAAAAGCTTGTTTGCAAATTTTCGTAAAAAAATCAGCGTAGGATCAAAAGTCATAGTCTCCGGGTGTCTAACTCACGTGACTCAATCTTTCAAACGACCTTTGGTAATTCAATTTGTTCCTTCTTTATCATGTTATTGTGCACAATGTATTTAAAAGTTTGGCCTTCCGTGCCCTGATGAAGATTGGATTTAAGTGTGTGTATATTTTTTAAATTATTATTTATGAGTTTTGGTGGTTTGCGGCATCGTTAGTGTGTACACCACATCTCCTTTCAATCATAGTTTAGAAAAAGAAAGGTGTTTCAAACTCAGAAAATTCTAAACGTTTGACACGAATTGTCCAGTTCTATCTAAATAAGATAAAGATATTAAGAAGCGCTACTTATACTCCATCCTTACTCTTGAAATTTTATATTAAATTCTTACCGAATTCTAAATGCCATGTACATTTAAATCCTAAATATTCAGCAATTCTTTCCAATATCCTTTATAATTTACCTCATAATTTTTAGGAGGTTCAAACAGGTTTTTGATTTCTCCTTCTCCACTCATCTGTCGCTTTTGTTTAACCTTCATAGCCAGTTCATGTTTGACCAATGGCGTGATGCTGTTACATTCTATTGCTGTCTTCAAGACATCGTCCAAGGTTTCTACAGGCGAGTATTGTTCCGCTAAGCTAAACATTGTCTTCAACCTGTCAAAATTAACAATTTTACACTTATTTACGATAAAATATTAATTTTATTTGACTCATGATTATGTCTTGTGAACTTAATGAATTAAGCATATGACATTTGGACAAAAGCCAACAAGACATTTTATATTTAGCACAAGATAAAAGCTCTACCTCAAATATTGTCACGGATACTTGAAATTGGATTTGCAATACAATAACTGTACATAATTGAATAAAAAATGATAGAAAATGTCAGACAATTATGAATAAAACCAATTATAGTTACCTTAGATACAGCTTTGTTTACAAGTAGTATGTATTTTTCCACTTTCCGATTAGAAATTACCCTGAACGGATTTTCCAATTTTCTAGTACAATATTGGTAATCACCTTTTTCTAAAAATAGCGAAAATTTTCAGCGAACCGTTTCCCTTTGGTAAACCGTCAGGAATGAACTAACCTGTTAACACATTTAAATATACATGTTGAGATGGCACGTCTTGCATAAAATTACAAAATAATAAAGTGTAATATATTTATTAATCCATGTTTATTATATAGAAAAAAATAGAACGATTTAAATACGAAATACGAAATATTTTATTAAAGAAAGCTCAACTATGGACATAATCATTAATAGCATAGATAAAACCATAGATATAATAGCTATAGATATAATAGCCATAGATATACGATTTATGTCATCTTCACCAGGAACAAAATATCAACATATTTTCCAAAATTCTAAATGCGTACACGGATAGGAAATTAATAAGAAGCTTGAGGCGGGTGTTTTATATGGTGTTTGTAAACAATTAATAGTTATGAAACATATGTTTGATCTTCAGGTCTATGACTTACTGATTAATAGATTATTCAGATGTACTAAAGGACAACCATTTGTTATTCGAGGAAAAAGGAGTGGGGATTCCAAATGAATATTCTGGCCTGTTAAAATCTGACAAAATTACTGGATTCGCCACTGATAATTTTACATCGACATTACTGTCATGGTGTAAATAAGATATGTAGCTATACCCAACCGGCCATACGCCCTCATGTGTCTTTCTTATACATACATGTAGAACAAATGTATATAACAACGCAAAACCATTCTTTTTTTGTTTTATATATTTTCAAATTATCGTTCTTCCTTACCGCAGCATTTAACATTGTTGCTAAATTTCAGTCGAGGTATACGTAATTTGTGGTGTTAGCCCTTCATAACCCTTGGATGTCCGAATGAGAAATTCTCTCGTACATTTGTCACATATTTAAACGTGTAATAAATATATTAATTACGTAATGTAAGAATCCTGGGTTTTTATTGATTGATAGCCAGTGTATTTTTCACCAATTTACTTTAATCAAATGAATATCGTTCATTTTTAAACAGCGCCGGGGTATATGCAAAAAGGATATGCCTTTTTTACCCTCTCTGCCTTGGTATTTGCCAAAAAATACTCTATCCGACTGGACGCTTTTAATGTCACGATCATCAATGCGTTTTATGTCACGATCATCAATGCGTTTTGTACGTTAACATTCGGTGTAATTAAACAGATATAGCATGTTCTTGAGGGGTATTTGCGAAAAATACCAGTCTTGAGAATGAATTTCCCTCGCCTTACGGCTCGCGAAATTTAACATTCTCTCGACTGGTATTTTTCGCAAATACCCCTCCTTAACATGATATATCTGTTCAATATATATATGCCTGCTTATGATTAAGACATATAAGGCGTTACAATTATTATATAGTGCCTAGAAAATCCACCTAACAATGTAAGAGTAGGTCTGATTCTTTACTTCCTCCCTAACTGGGACTGGAATCTATACTTTTACTTTACTTTTACTCTTCCATAAACATAAATCATTGTTTGGATAAACTATTACCGATAATTGTAAGCCAAAACAATACCAAGTATTAAAGGAGCTTTCGATTTATATATTGTTTCAATAGTTGCAGAAAGAAGAGCGAGTAGATACTTGGGGACAATCACAAGTTCAATTAAACCAGAAAACCCTGGCCAAAATTAAAAAGGAAGAACAGACAAACACAATAACCAAGCATAACATTAAAAACTTTAAAAGATCTACCCACGTGAACCCCACCAAAAAACGGGATTGAACTCAAGTTCTCCGGAAGGACAATCCGTTTACTTCTCTACATGTGTGCAAGTTTTAATCCGGTGTTATAGGTACCAGGATAACAATTTTGTACGCCAGACGAGCGCGTGTTCTACAAAAGACTCATCAGTAACGCTCGAATAAATAAGTTAAAGAGGACAAATAAAGTAAGAAGTTGAAGAGTATTGTGGACCCAAAATTCCGAAAGGTTTTTCCAAATACAGTTAAAGTAACCTATTGCTCTTTTATCAAACCACAGGAGTTGACTTTGATACAAAAATATGGTAAACCTGACTATTCCCATCAGACAGTAAAACCCATGCTAAAGAGGGATGGATGTTCGTGCGGCAGTCTATATTTTATAGCCCATCATCCTTATTGACCTTCTTTGAAATAATTTCCTCTGGGCAATAAGCAAACAGCAATCAATCTAACAATTTTATATTTTTTTTTTTGTATTTTTTTTCCGTATTCTTAAATGTAATACTTTATTTTGCGAATCTAACAGTTCAGTCTATTTATATGTTTTTATATTTAAATTTTTTAATGCAAACAAATTGGATGATCAAAACTTTTCTGCATTTCTAATTATTAAAAAAAAATCAAAATTTTGAAAACACTGTCAGCTAAAGCTGTGTTAGATTGAACGTAAAATTTATCTAACACGTCTTAGGAAAGTATAAAACTTTTGCTAAATGTACGTTAAAATAAATTTTGAAATACCGATTGAGGAGAGGTGTGTCAGTGGCCATGTCTATAAGCAAGATTTAGTACGGCAGTTTTAGTCTATTAGACCCAATCAATCAAATATACTGAAAATCTCTGTATATATATCCAAATGCTATCTTTTAGAGTGAACTTCTACTTGAATTGAGCTGTTAGTTATAAGAATTTCATATGTCACGTTAATTTGAGTTCACTGAAACCATGGATTAGTTTTGTTTCTTGTTTCCGCTTGTAAATAAAAAGACCATCAAACAATTTTTCGTGTTAGTGCTATGAAACCGTGTTTAATTCACTATTATAATAATTAAACTTACGGGAAGTGACTGTAGCAAGCCAGGATTAATTTAGGTGTTTTATTTTAAAAGTTTTAGACAGAGACTTAGACTTTAAATTGTTGATACATTTTAGAAGTTCAGTGCAATCGTAGCTCATCATTTTTTATCCAGTTGAAGAATAATTATAGGTTTTTATGTTTTTTTCTAGATTGTCTAATTAAAACATATTTTTTAAATTCATTAACATATGTTTGTGATGTGCCTATTCAAGACCACAAGTCTGCAATGTAGAGGCTGTGGTTTACTTTCCGTAACGTCTTTTCGTTTAACTTTACCAAATATATATTGAAAAAGACTTACGTTTGTTTTATCTCTTGAATACAAAGATTTTCTTAGTTTCCGAGAGCTTTTGAAAATGTCGTACTTGGTAGATAGTTGTCGTTTTCCATTGACAATCACGTTATATCGTCTTTTCTTATTTCCGAGAAAATGTAGGTGTATTATTTAAAAAACGAACATATTTATTTCTGGATCTTTATGACACATATTAAGATTATAAGAAATGACATTTTATAGTATTTTTTTAGTTTAGATATCCGCTGTATATACATTAGTTTGAATAAAACATACATTTAATTCCTGTCTGTTGATCATGTACACTACTTTTAAAAATGTCTATTTTGGAATTTGTATCGTTGGGTTGCTGACTCATCTACTTTTGTTTGCATCAAAATGTTAAAACTGATACAAAGATACCTGAAACGAGTTACTATCCCATGATATACTAATAATAAACAAATCATTGGGCACTTCAACTACAGCAATATTCATTAACAATTAACTCGTCCTAGACAACAAGGATATAGATTTCATGTCTTTGTCAAAACGCTTACCTACTATTTTCACAAATGACAGAATTTGTGGATGCAGGATGTAATAACATTAATGATACAAATTTTACAACACCAGATGCGCATTTCAACAACTAATGTCTCTTCAGTGATGCTCGAGGGCATAATATATGAAAATCCTAAACGTAATACATACTTAAAAAATTCCCGAACGTAAATCCTAATCCGGACAAGGAATCAGAACTATTCATGAGGGAGATACATTCCCTATGATTTGAAAAGATTTCAAGAAATCAACGCAACGTTTAGGAAATGCATAGCTTTTTATTGTTATACTATCTATACTGAAAGAAGAAAAAAGGTTGTCGTTTTCTGGTAAATATCATCGTTTGAATTATTTTACATTTGTCATTTCGAAGCTTTTTATAGCTTATTATGTGGTGTGGGTTTTGCTCAATGTTGAAGGCCGTATGGTGACCTATAATTGTTAACTTCTACATCATTTAGTCTCTGGTGGATAGTTGTCTCATAGGCAATCATGCCACATTTTCTTACTTTTATGTGAATATTTCTCTTTTTTACAGACTTAAAGTGAAAGTTTATAGTTATACAGTTACTATGCTTTGTGAAAGTACAATTCGACTTACAGGTATTGGATAAAAATGATATTTTCACAAAGCTTTATTGGCAATATTGTTCACACGGCAAACAAGTTTAATAGTTGTTCTTTAGATCTTACTTTTTTTGGCGGAACAGACATATTATAAATTATATCATTAATACAGTTCTTGTAAAATCCTGGCATATTTTATTTCTTTATATTGAAATTTCTGAACAGTGATACAAGACTTCAATTTTCATTTATTTTTATGGAATTTTGTAAGGAAATTTTTCTTTGCGCTATGCGCAACATCTTATGTCACTTCTATTTTTCTGCAATGTTTTTTGTATTATTGTAGGAAATCTAGTTGATTACATAATGGCATGTTCAATTATTTGATATTATCAAATTAATTACTTTGAGCTTCCTATTGGTATCTGCAAGATTTCTTTGATACGACATTATTAAGTATTTTTTATCTGTTCTATACTTGCAGTGTAGTTTTGACTCCTGTAATAACGATATTATTGAGATAATTATTTTTTCTTCAATAAAAATAAGAAGATGTAGTAGGAGTGCCAATAAGACAACACTCCATCCAAGTCTCAATGTGTAAAAAGTTAACAATTATAGGTCAAAGTATGACCTTCAACACGGAGCCTTAGCTCACACCGAACAGCAAGCTATAAAGGGCCCAAAAATGACTACTTTTGATCTAGGGCTGTCTAAGTTATTTTATTAAATCATTCAGAAGGAAACTTGAGTTTTTTCAAAGAACTACTTTAACCATACACCCTATTGACGTGCCTGTCGAAGTCAGGAACATAGTTATTGGTTGTATAAGTTCTAGCA